CCTTCTCCCTCTGCCTGTGTCTCTGCCCCTCTCTCTCTCTATGTCTCTCATGAATAAATAAATAAAATCTTAAAAAAAAAAAAAAAAGACCAAAAGGCTAATCAAACTAATTCCAGTGGTTCTGAGTTAATGATGTAGATCTGGAGAATTAGTATAGGTAAATAATTTTTTATTATCAAAAGCCTTTAGCTTTGGAAAAATTGTAAATTTATAGGAAAGTGGCAAAGATAGTACTGAGTTCTAATATGCCTTTCACCCAGCTTTCCCTAGCGTGAACATCTCACATAAACATGGTGTGTCAAAATTAAGAAACTAACACTGTACAATACTATCAACTAAACTACAGATCTTATGTAGATTTCTTCAGTTTTTCCATTAATGTGCTTTTTCTGTCCCAGAATCCAGTTCAGGATAGCATACTGTACTTTGAAAAATTAACTTTTTAATGTAAAAAAATGATTTTGTGGGACACCCGGGTGGCTCAGCGGTTGAGTGTCTGCCTTTGGCTCAGGGTGTGATCCCGGAGTCCCAGGATTGAGCCCCACATCGGGCTTCATGCATGGAGCCTGCTTCTCCCTCTGCCTGTGTCTGTCTCTCTCTCTCTATCTCTCTATCTCTCTCTGTGTCTCTCATGAATAAATAAAATCTTAAAAAAAAATTTTTTTTCTGTATTCTAGGAGTGGTTTAGAATAACAACCAAATAACCAAATTATCATAAAACACTATTATCAGAAATAGTGTCATTTTTCTATTGAGTTATTGACCCAGATTTTATTTAAATAAGGTATTGGTGACTCCCTGGTTATAAAACCATTAAAGATCCCCTGTTAGTGGAAGTATCAATTACTACAACTTCCATGAACATTTAGTAGAATCTTCCAAAGTTTAAATGTAAATATCCCAGCTGTAGCAACCACCCTTGTAGGGTAGTTTTTTTTTTTTTTTTAATTTATTCATGAGTGACAGAGAGAGAGAGGCAGAGACACAGGCAGAGGGAAAAGCAGGCTCCATGCAGGAAGCCGGATGTGGGACTCGATCCCGGGTCTCCAGGATCACACCCTGGGCTGAAGGCAGGCGCCAAACCACTGAGCCACCCAGGCTGCCCTTTGTAGGGTAGTTTTAACAGAGAGAAAACAGAGTCACTGGAACAGGGTTTTCTGGGGGGTGATGAGAATGTCCTAAAATTGCTTACAAACTCTGTACGTATATTAAAACCACTGAATAGTATGCTTTAAATGGTTGAAACGTATGGTATGTGAATCCTATCTCAATAAAGCTGTTAGGGGACGCCTGATTGGCTCGGTGGGTTGGGCATGTGACTCTTGGTTTCGGCTGGGGTCAAGATCTCAGGGTGGGGAGATCGAGGCCCCCATCAGGCTCCGAGCTAGCAGGGAGTCTGTTTCCCCTTTCCCTCTGCCTCTACCCCTCCCCCTGCTCGCTTGCTCTAAAATAAATAAATAAATCTTGAAAATCAATAAATAAAAATAAAGTTATTAGGACAACACAAAAAAGGAGGCCCTGGAGACAGGCTGCCGGCCATTTGCCTCTTAGCCTTCGCTTGCAATCTTTGGGATCGGGAGCAGGATACTTCACCATGTCTGTTTCCTCAGCTGAAAAACGGGAAATAAGGCAGTAGCTTAGGTCATCAGGGTTGTTGAAGACTAAATCAAAGCCATGTATATGCAGGGCTTAAAACAGAGCCTGGTACACACTAAGTACTCAAATTTGGTTTTTACAACTAGTTAGTTCCAGACAGGGCTCCTTAAAGAAACCCACAAATGAACAGATTCAGATCAGAAGGGGAAGGGAACAAGCCACACCACATAAATCAAAGTGGATAGAAATAGGAAAGTTACAAGAAAAGAGAAAACTCACAGGATATAAAACCTTCTCACATATCTGAAGCAGTCTCGTATCATGTTTGTCTTACTTATGTCTGCTCTGTGTGGCTCAGAAGTAGAAAGCACTCTGTAAACTACCTCTGGAAGGAATGATGTACCTGGGGGAAGGAGAGTGCACAGAGATGGGGCAAGATGGTTTCAGAGTCATAAAGACCCGTCTTCTGTCAGTTTGAAAATTTTCCTAATAAATAGTTGGAGAGGAAAAAAATCTTAAAAAAAAAATCACGTATTTGAAACTTTTTAAAATCTAAACAAAGTTAAGGCATCTAAATTATTCTAATAACACAGCTCTTCTAAAGTCAATACAGAAATAAGTGTTATTCATTTAACTGTTGTTGTTAAATATTGCTGGATGCCTTTAATTTATTTGATGCCAAATCCTTGATAGAGAAAAATCACCCCTACTATGATCCCTCCTACTGGATAATTTTATACCACTTTTAGAAACAAATGAAAGGGAAGAAAGTGGGCAGCCTGGGTGGCTCAGCGGATTAGCGCTGCCTTTAGCACAGGGCATGATCCTGGAGACCTGGGATCGAGTCCCATGTCAGGCTCCCTACATGGAGCCTGTTTCTCCCTCTGCCGAGTCTCTGCCTCTCTCTCTCTCTGCATGTGTGTGTCATAAATAAATAAAATCTTAAAAAAAAAAAGGGAAGAAGGCAATAATTACATCAGAGATTATAAATTTGACAAGAGAAAAATTACATTATTTTTAAAAATAGTATTTTCCTTACATAATTTTTATTCTTCTCTTTGATTCTCACATGTCCACTATTATTTTTTTAAGATGCCAAAAAGAGGTAAATACCCAAAATAAGGGCAGCCCAGGTTTAGCACCGCCTTCGGCCCGGGGTGTGATCCTGAAGACCCAGGATCGAGTCCCACGTCCGGCTCCCTGCATGGAGCCTGCTTCTCCCTCTGCCTGTGTCTGTTCCTCTCTGTATCTGTCTTTCATGAATAAATAAATAAAATCTTAAAAAAAATACCCAAAATATATAAAGAACTTATACAAGTCTCTCTCTAAATAAATTCTTTTCAAAAATTTTTAAAAAGGGGGGCACCTAGGTGGTACATCGGTTGGGTATCACTGTTGGTTTCAAATTAGGTTCTGATCTCAGGGTCATGAGACTAATCCCCAATTTGGGCTCTGCACTCACTGTGAAGTCTGCTTAAGACTCTTCCTCTTCCTCTATCCCTCCTCCCACCTCTCTGCACTCTCTAAAATAAATAAATTTGTTTAAAAAACTTTTTTAAATTACAGGGTGCCTACAGACACATGTGCACTGTTGCTAGGAATACAAACTGGTGCAGCCACTCTGGAGAATAGTATGGAGGTTGCTCGAAAAAAAATTAAAAAAAATATAGAACTACTTTATGATTCAATAATCCCACAACTGGGTATTTACCCAAAGATAATAAAAATACTAATTCAGGGATCCCTGGGTGGCTCAGCAGTTTAGTACCGCTTTCAGCCCAGGGTATGATCCTGGACACCCGGGACTGAGTCCCACCGTTGGGCTCCCTGCATGGGGTCTGCTTCTCCCTCTGTCTGTGTCTCTGCCTCTCTCTCTCTCTCTGTTTCTCTCATGAATAAATAAATAAAATCTTAAAAAAAAAAAACTAATTCAAAAAGATAGGTTCCTATGTTAACTGCAGCATTACATACAATAGACAAAATATGGAAGCAGCCCAAGTGTTCCTCCATAGATGAATGGATAAAGAAGAGGTAGTACGTACGTACGTACGTACACACACACACACACACACACACACACACACACACACACAGGAAAACTACTCAGCCGTAAAAAAGAATGAAATGTTGCCATTTGCAACAACATGGACAGACATATACAGAATATAATGCTAAATGAAGTCAGAGAAAGATAAATACCATATGATTTCACTCATACATGGATTTTAAGAAACAAAACAAAACAACAACAAAAAAGAGACAAACAAAAAAAACCCAGACTCTTGAATATAGAGAACTGGTGGTTACCAGAGGGATGATGGGTGGGTGAGCTACATTAACGGAATTAAGAGTACACTTATTGAGCGCCTGAGCCATGCAGTCAGTTAAGAGTCCAACTCTATAAATCTATAAATCAATCAATCAATCAATCAATCAATCCAACTCTTGCTTTTGGCTCAGGTTATGATCTTGGGGTCGCGAGATCGAGCCCCACATCGGGCTCTGTGCTCAGCTCAGAGCCAGCTTGACATTCTCTCTCCCTCTGCCCCTCCCCACCCTGCTCTCTTTCTCTATAAATGAATAAATAAGTCTTAAAAAAAAGAAAAAAGAGTCCACTTATCATGATGAAACTGAGTAATGTATAAATTGCTGAATCATTGTACTGTACACCTGAAACTAATGTAACACTGTGTGTTAATTATACTTCAATTTTTTAAAAAGTTTAAAAAAAAAAAAAACTAAAGAGAAAAAATTGGGTGCTCAAACTGTTAAGCCTCTGCCTTCGGCTCAGGTCATGATCCCAGGGTCCTGGGATGGAGCCCAGCATCAGGCTCCCTGCTCAGCGGAGAGTCTATTCCTCCCTCTCCCTCTGCCTGCCATTCCCCCTGCTTGTGCTTGCTCTCTCTCTCTCTCTCTCTCAAATAATTAGATGAGATCTTTAAAAAATAACAATAATGAGGAGAGGAAATCAAATAAATTAATCTCTTACTGAAAAAAAAGAGTGCCAAAAATGAAAACTATGATGCGATCTTGTGCTATAGTTTCCTCTTTTGGATAAGGAAGTCTTCAACATACTTTCCTCAGCGATAAAGTAAAATGTTATTCACCCTCTCATTTCCATGAAAAACTCCAAACTGATTCCCTATTGCCAAATCCATCTCTCCTCTCCTTGCTTAAAACTGTGCATTTGTAAGACTGAGAATTGGCTTTCTACTCCTGGAAAAAGTCCATCAATAAAATAATGGCCTTTCTAGGTGACGAACACAGGAGCCGAGTTGGAGCACTGATTTAAGAAAAATAGCTTGTTACTCAACATGTAATAGAACACTAAAACATAAATTTTATTATGCTGAGCAACTGCTCACTTCCTTTCACATGGAACCAAACACTAGTGACACACATACCTGTGGGACCATCGCAACCCTTTGGTTTCTTTTGGGTGACCTTGTATTTATTTGTCTGTCATCTTCATCAGAAAAGAGTCGACTTCGCTTTGAATTTCTGAAAGGCTATGACAGAAATTTGTTGATTTAATAAAAAGACTGAACACTCCCCATTTTTATTCCAAAATACATTTCTCCACTTGGGAGATAGAGCTAAGGCTGGACTATCAGCAGCCTGGAAGGATAAGTATGGGTAATACAAAGTATACCACGTTGAATACAAATAATCTTAGATTTACAAAGTAGTACATATGTATGCAATTTGTTTACAATTGAAACATCTAGCTGATGACTAAATGAAACACCTAGCTGACAATTAAAACTGGAACCCAAGTATCCTTAGCAGCCTTGAATGGTGACAAGAGAAAAACAAGTTCTGGAAATTCCAGTTCTCATTATGCTAGTGATTGGATTAAAAGCAGCTGGGTGTATTGCATGCTGTGTCTGCTGCATAGGCCCTGAGCTGGACAAAGTTACCAATCACTCTAGAGAGTCAATCTCAATGTATAATAACGCACTATATGCACTGTCAAAATTCGTTAACGAATTTCCATCTGTGAATAAAAGTACAAGGTACCTGTAACAGGTATTTGGTAAGTGAGTATAGACTACACTAGATTGCAGAACTAGAACTAACTTGCTGAAATACCCAAAGGACATCATACACTTAAGGCTCTGTAATATGAACAATTTTACCATCCATTCTAGGTTCAGAGGCCTCATAAAGGCAGAACAACAATAGAAATAATATCCCAATCATACCAACATCCTGTTTCAAATTCTTCTGCCAGAACTTCAGACAGACTTGCATGCCCAGTCAGAAGGGAGGTAGGTTACAGAGGACTAGCAACATACGAGCAGCATCCAACTGGGTCAAAGCCAGAGGTCCTGACTCTTGAAATTAAACCCACTGAGAGCCTTAATACTCCATAGCCCTGAAAGAAGTCTCTTCTACCCTACATGTAATTATCCTTGATCTTCATGGGATTTTGTTATCTTACACTTATTTATACATCTTTTTGCAGGGACCAGAATCATGTGAAATTTTTTTATATTCTAAATAAAGTATTATTTGGGGTTGTTAGAGTTTTTTGCCCTGCCTATTTAAAGAATTGCAATTACTTAACAAATGCTTACCGATGACCAGATTATCAAAGGCTACAGACCATTTATCTAAGTTTGATCTCATATGCTACACTCAATGGCACTTAAAGACTCAAACGCAAAAAAAACTCAAACACTTGGGTTTGGGGAGAACCTTGGAAAACTATTACTGTCGTATAAGAACTGTGCACGTGACAATAAATACAAACAATTTAGTTATCATATTCTAAAGAGTAAGAAAATTCCTTACCATTTCCACAGCAGAGCCCGTATTCCTGCCTTTCCAAACAGGTGTTTTTTGTAAAGAGCTGTACTTTTCATTCCATGTGTTAGATAAGCTTCCCTCTGTAATATAAGTAATTACCACTAGTAAGATTTAAGTTTAGGTCAAAGGATTTTATACAATTAACACTGCCTTCTATATATGAAATATTTACCAATATGGAAAAAATACACTAACCACAGTAATTTTGGTTTATTGCAAATGAAAAATCTTTTTTTTTTTTTTTTTGGTCAAACTCTACATAATTTGACAAGGCGCTGCATCGTGAAAGTATTACATTCTCATATTAAAGTGGGGCTCATATGTGTGGGGGACACCTGGGTGGCTTAGTGGCTGAGCAGTGTGTGTGATCCCGGTTTGGGAATTAGGTCCCACATCAGGCTCCCTGTGAGGAGCCTGCTTCTCTCTGTGTCTCTCTCATGAATGAATGAATGAATGAATGAATGAATGAAGAAAGAAAGAAAGTGTGTGTGGTTTCCTTCTTTGTATTTTTAGTAATTTCTTTATTCTAATTTGCTAAGAAGCTTAAGTACAATCTGATTGAAAACAGGGCAGTGGAAAAATGGAAAAAAGCTTCTAACCTTGAATTTAGAGTATATTTCTAAATGTTTCCTGCTTTAGTAAGTGAAACCATGGATATACAAAAATAAAATGTGTGGGTGTTTATGTTTTCCTTGATTCAAAGAAATGTCTTCAGAGTTGTATGCAACCAGAAAAAATTCCAATCAAGTAATTGATTAGACATATTATGAAAATACAGAACAGTGAGTTTAATTTTTATAAAAAGGATATGTTTATGTAGAGAAAGTCACAGAAAGCCAGGATGAAGACACACAAGATAGTTATTTTCATTTCTTCTAGCTGTTCATCAGCATTTACTAATTTTTTTCTGTAAGAAATATATCACTTATATATTTATTGTTTTGAAAAGAAAAATGGTTTTGATATTGAGAGGAAAAGAATAATGAAATACTTTTTCAGATGTACCTTTTAAGTACAAAAGAAAAGAGATGGACCAGGACTGATCCAGCTAGGCAAATAAATTAGGGTAGTTCTGGAAGGTAGGTGTTCTCAAGCCAGGAATTGATTTGATAAATCACCAGTCCAAAGCACAACATAGTAGCTTTAAAAACTAAAAGTATTAGTGAACTTTTGAGCACAGTTTGCTTCCAGATTTACTTACTCAGTAGAACCCTGCCCAAGCAAAAATTCAAAACAAACCACAGTAAGAAGGTTGGTCTAAAGTACTTCCAGAAAGAAAGAACAAGACCAAGGCATATGTATAACTCTGCTCTCAGATAAAGAAAACTACTATCATTCTTTTATTTCAAGAGACTTGCATCATTACTTAGAAAGCAGAATTTCTAAAAAATAATAATAATAAACTCAAACAAAAACACAGCTGAGCACAGCTGTTCAATAAATGCTTTTACTCTAGTAAGATATCTGCAATGTTTAACAAAAAAGTTCCTGGTGAGGAGCACCTGGGTGGCTCAGTTGGTTGAGTGGCTGCCTTTGGCTCAGGCCATGATCAGAGGATCCTGGGATCGAGCCCTGCATCAGGCTCCCTGCTTCTCCCTCTCCCGTTCCCCCAATTCGTGCTCTCTGGCTCTCTCCATCAAATAAAATAAAAACCTTTAAAGAAATAAAAATAAATAGTTCCTGGGGTTTGGAGCATCTGGCTGGCACATGGGAGTGTGTGACTCTTGATAAGAAGTGATAAGTTCAAGCCCCATATTCAGTGTGGAGATTACTTAAAAATAAAATCTTAAAAAAAAAAAAAGTTCTTGGGGTGCCTGGCTGGCTCAGTTGGTGTAGTGTGCGACTCTTGATCTCTGGGTCATGAGTTCAAGCCCCACACTGGGCAAGAACTTACTTTAAAATTTTTTTTTTAGGGATCCCTGGGTGGCGCAGCGGTTTGGCGCCTGCCTTTGGCCCAGGGTGTGATCCTAGAGACCTGGGATCGAATCCCACGTCGGGCTCCCGGTGCATGGAGCCTGCTTCTCCCTCTACCTGTGTCTCTGCCTCTCTCTCTCTCTCTGTGACTATCATAAATAAATAAAAAATTAAAAATAAAATAAAATAAAAATTTTTTTAAAAGAGGGACTCGGGGGGATCCCTGGGTGGCGCAGTGGTTTAGCGCCTGCCTTTGGCCCAGGGCGCGATCCTGGAGACCGGGGATCGAATCCCATGTCGGGCTCCCGGTGCATGGAGCCTGCTTCTCCCTCTGCTTATGTCTCTGCCTCTCTCTCTCTCCCTCTCTCTCTCTCTGTGTGACTATCATAAATAAATAAATTAATTAATTAAAAAAAAGAATCTATATATAAAAAAAAAAGAGGGACTCGGTGGCTCAGTTAGTTGGGTGTCTGCCTTTGGCTCAGGTAGTGGTTCCGGGGTTGGGACTGAGTCCCACATTGGGCTCTACACTTGATGAGGATCCTGTTTCTCCCTCACCCTCTGCCTGCCCCTCCTCCCTCTGCTCACACTATCTCTCCCTCTATCAAATAAATAAAAGCTTTTAAAAAAAATAAAAATTTTTAAAAAGAAAAAAGTTTTTTTAATCAGTATTTCTCAGCGAAATAAATTTCTTAATTTCCAACAACCAAGGACCAATTCTTCTAAAACATCCCATGAATTTAAAATTATCATCAGTGAAAACCAATACTTAAAAGCTATAATGAATGCTAACTTTGACAGTAAAGAGAAACACTATATCCAAATCAATTTAATGAATTAAATTTCTAGCTTATGCCGTACCTACAGAGTCGTGCTATGATCTTACCTTTTAAACTGACAAGGGCCTTTGCTGAAGAGCCTGCAATTAAAACAAATCAATATTATTTCATAATTAATGTGAGAGAAAAAGAACTTGGGCTACAGGGTGAGAGTGACCCATCTGATTTTTTAGTAGTGCTAAGGCTGGAGTGACGGTGGGATGTGCAAACAGAAATAACCAGTGGGCCATTCAAGCTATCAGCCAGAAGTCTGATAAGGTAAGGAAGAGCTGGAGAGATTTGGATCCAGAAATGTTCTGGTGCTGGAGAAGAAGAGACAGGAACTGACATTTACTGAAGCAAAGATCAGAAGCGGTAATAGAGTGGAGAGAAGAGCAAACGAAAATCATCCAGGGGCGCTGTTATCATCAAGCAACAAGTGCCTCGGAAACTCTAGAATGCAGGTGTGTGCAACCTTTCAAGACCCAAGCTGGTAAAAGGGATTTCAGAAGAGCCAAGAGGGGTTAGCATACCAATGGAGGGGTTCACAGGTGAAAACAACCCTTAGTGTACGTTAAAATAAGCAGGAAGCTCCTCATGCAAGCAGAATCTGTATTGTTAATAAAGGTGCTTGGGGGTTCTGTTGAAGGTAACCCTCAGGCCCACTCTGAAGACACACTGGGATACAGGGTCTGGTGTGAATAAAGGATGGGATCTATGGATGAAGGGAAGCAGGAGAAACCACAGGGAAATACATTTTTATGAGACTGGGAGAGCACTAAATTAAAATCTCAGAATTGGATATGGATATTGCAAAGTCCAAGTCATTCGAAAAATAATAAAGGATGATCTCTCTCACTTACATTTGGCATCTTAAAAAAAAAACCCAAAACCTGAACTCCTAGATACAGAGAACAGACTGGTGGTTGCCAGAGGTGGGGGCTGGGGGTGTGGGCAAAATGGGTAAAAGCAGTCGAAAGGTACAAACTTCTGGTTACAAGATAAATCAATCCTGGAGATGTAATGTACAGCACAGTGATCACAGTTAACAATACTGTATTGTAGACATGAAAGGTGCTAAGAATGATCTTAAAAGTGCTCACCATAAGAAAAAAATTTGTAACCAAGTGTGGTGATGGGTGTTAACTAACCCAGGTGAGGCAATCCTTTCACATATATCAAATCAGTATGTTGTACACCTAAAACAAATACAACATTAAATGTCAATTATAGCTCAACATCAAAAAAATTAACAGGAAAAAAAAAACCCTTTCCGTGCTCCAAAATAAAAATTAGTAACAGAATTCTGGATGAGTGAAATCTTCCTCTTTTAACTTAAAAAAAAAAAAAACTGTTTAGAACGCTTTTTTTTTCTTATTATAGTCAAACTATTTTTTTTATTTTTTTTAATTATAGTCAAACTATTACGTATCATTCCTCATTTTTAAAATTAGGTACTATGACATCCATTTATGTTTGATAGAATGTAATCTAAGATTAGGCTGTACTTAATGTTATTCGAAAGGCTGGTCATTTACCTGCACTGAGAAAAGACAAATTTTTAAATGGCAAGTTAGGATGTGTGTAAATATCTCTAAGAAGCCAATCCACTATGGCATTTCATAAAACATAAATATAAATAAAGGATGATCCCAGGGGATAAAGTAAGAAAGAAGAATACTAACTAGGGAAAAACAATCAGAGAAGACAGATTAATTCTTCTTGGTGTTTAACAGAAGTAGCATGATTTACAACTCTTACAAATGGACAACACTGTAAAGGAGAAGCAACGAGAATGCACTGCAGTTCGGGCAATGAAATATTTTTATGCCACTCCGATCCCTAAGCTTCAGCTGACTTTCCCTCTGCAGGGCAGGATGAGAAGACTATAGAACAGATAAGCCATCAACACCAAAGCCACCCTTGCTCTCACTCTACTCTCTTGCCTAGATATGGAGACCAGGTAATAGGATACCTGAGCGGTCTCCAAACAGCAAGCTGGTTTAATGAGAAGCAGAAGCAGTACTGTTGGGGCAGAGTCTAGCTAAAAAGCCTCACACAGAACAGCACAACTGGGAAGCAGCTACTGGACAGGGCACATATCCACGTAGCTACCAAAAAAAAAAAAATAGTTTGGAGATCCCTGGGTGGCTCAGGACGTGATCCTGGAGTCCCGGGATCAAATCCCACGTCGGGCTTCTGCATGGAGCCTGCTTCTCCCTCTGCCTGTGTCTCTCCCTCTCTCTCTCTGTCTCTGTCTCTCATGAATAAGTAAATAAAATCTTAAAAAAAAGAAACATGGCTAGTTTTAGAAAAAGTAATAGCATCCACTCATCCCTGTGAATATGTACTGCCATAGGACCCCCCAGTCCCTGCTGTAGGCACTAGGTATAGGACAGCATACAGAAGAACCAAAGTCCCCGCTCTCATGGTGTTTACATTCCAGTGAGGGGAGACAGACAAATACATACATCAAGTGATGTTGAGCACTGGAGGGGGTGGGGGGATATAACAGGAATGTGGGCGGGGAGTTGGGAGACAGAAGACTATTTTTCTAAGAAGTGCTCTTGATCAGCTTCTGTGAAAGGTGATATTTGAGCAGAGATCTGCAGGAAGAAGTCCAAGCCCCAAGGATATCCATTCCTGCTCCATGAAGGCAAGACTCTGTCCTGGCGATTCTGACCTACCACTCTCAACCTTTTCGCTGAGAAGCAGTGTAGCCTAAGGGTTAAGAGCACACATTGGAGGTGTGTTTGAATACTGGTTCTTTTTGCTGGGTTACTTAAGCAATTTACTTAACTTCTTTGTGCCGCTGATCATTTGTAAAATGGGGATTAAACAAGTTACATATGTAAAAGTGCTTAGAGAACAATGCACAGAGCATATGACTAATTTTTAGATCATGCATATTGCTACCATTACTTTGATCAATCAAAACAACAACAAAGTACCCACTGAATGACTGCTATAGCACTATTCTGTGGGCTGGGATTACCTGAAGGCACAGAGAGGAGGCCTCTGCTGAGAGTTTACACTCTAGTGGGAGGAGACACACAATAAACCAGTATGTGAAGTGATAATGATACATAGCAGTTGTCATAAAGGAAACAAACGAGGTGATCTGGGGTGGGGGGTGGGGGTTGCTTTACACAAGGTAGTGAGAGAAGGTTCTCTGGGAAGGTAACATCTAAAAAGGACTCATCTTGAGGGAGTAGGAGGCCAAAGCAACGAGTCTGGGCAAAAGAAATAACAGGTTAAAAAAAAAAAAAAAGCCCCGAGATAGAACATTTAGAACATTCAAGGAACAGGGGGAAAGGGCAGTGTGCTTAGGGACTAGCTAGCAAGGGAAGAGGGTCATGAAAAGGGTCAGAGAAGTGTGCCAGGTGTTACTCATGGAACCAGAAATGCATGAGCCAGGTGTTAGGCATGTAACCATAGTAAAGTTGCCACTGTAACAGCTTTAATAAGATGTAATCTTTGTCAAGGACAGAAAATAATTTTCTAAAGAAGCTGAAATAGGATCTGAAGGATAAGTAGCCGTCAACTGCAAGCGAGGGAAAGGAAGAGCATTCCAGGTAATGAGAACAGCATATGCAAAGGCCTTGAGGAAGAAGGAGGAAGAAGAAAAGGAGGAGGAGGAGGAAGGAGGAGGAAGAAGAAAGAAGAAGAAGAAGAAGGAAGAAGAAAGCCTGGTGAGTACAGGGAACAAAAAAGGCCAAATTTAGCCCAAAGGGACAGGATGAGAGGAAGAGTGGTACAAAATGAAGCTGGAGAGGTGGGGTGTGGCCAGAGTCCAAAGGCTCTTGTGGCTACCAAAGTGTTCCAAGCAGCAGGATGACATGTACACATTCTGGAAGGACCACTCTGACTGCAGGAAGGCTGCCGGGTAGGGGCGGGGTGTGGGTTAATGGTGACCGGTGCCCAGGAGTGTCACCTGGACTGGGGCAGGAAATGGTGAGAAGTAGGCCGATTGAAACGTGGAGAATCAAAGTCACAAGATGCGAGTATGGGCTTCAGTGTGGGACATGGGACCAAGCTAGCTTTTAGGTTTCAGGGAACACACAGTGGAGCCATTAAGACAGGACTCCTGGAAATATCTCTGTCCTGGAGGGGTGCAATTATGATGTAGGTCTTGAACCCATGAGGTCTGAGGGGCCACTGAAGCAGCTAAGAGGAGATGTGAAACAGTAAGGGATATGGGTCCGGAAGCTCAGAGGAAAGGTCTGGGCAGAAGGGAGCCTCGTACACACAATCCCGCTGGTGAGAGTACGTAGTCAACCGAAATAAGCATTTTATGAGTAAATGTGTATCATACACTTTGTATAGCATCTGGTTCATTGTATGCACTCAAATGATAGCTTATATTATTGATAATGTTATACCAACTATTGGCTAGTTTATTAGCTAGCCTCTTTGACAAAAAAAAATTGCAAAGAAACATACTATTTCCAGTATCAAACTGAAATCACTTTCCCTTTCCAAGACTCCGCTCCAGGTTCATTAGGCATGCCTCTCATCCTATCTTCCATTCAGTATAAATCAAGTATTTACATATACCTGATACGTAGCACTGTGTGACCAACAGAGTAAGGCAATTCCTGCTTTCTACAAGTTGTGGTCTAGCCAAACAAGGCCTACACCACACAAACACGATGTACTCCCATATATACCCCAATGCAGCGGAGCTGTCACAAATATAAATGTCAGCTATATAGTCTGAGAGTGTGGCTAGAATTTGAACCCTACTGTGAGTCCCAAGTCTCTACAAAGAACCACAGTTAAGTCCTCAATAAATGTTTAACGATGACAAGCAAATGTTTCAAATGACAGTTAAAAGAAAGCCACTTAGGGACGCCTGGGTGGCTCAGTGGTTGAGTGTATGCCTTTGACTCAGGTCATGGTACCAGGATCAGGATCGATTCCAGCATCAGGCTCCCCACAGCCTGCTTCTCCCTCTGCCTATGTCTGTACCTCTCTCTGTCTCTCATGAATAAATAAATAAAATCTTAAAAAAAAAAAAAGGCATTTAAAACACTGGTCATCTCAACAGAATGACCACAGCAATCAAAATAAGAGGTCTAGTGGTTGTGACTTCTCAGGCGTGATAAAATATCTTTATCCTTAAGATAGCAAAGATTTTCAGATGACAAGCGCTTTGTTTAGTAGGTTCACCCTTATTTGGGAGGATCTAAAATCACAACTGTGCTCTCCAAACAAGAAACTATAAAACTCATCCATGGTCTACCCATGTGCCCTGTCCAACGAAGTGGCCATTAGCCACCTGTGACCACTTAAATCTCAATCGATGAAAATAAAACTTAAAATTCTGTTCCTGGGCCAGTCTAGCCACATCTGAGTGTGCCCAGTGGCTACCCTCCTGGACGTTACAAAATAGAGTATTTCCATCAACCAGGAAATTCTACTGGAAGGTAGCTCTGGTCTAGAACAAATTTAAAACACAAACCCTTTTTCACCAGTTTGGTAACTTGAACCTTTAACTTTGTAACACGTTAAGGATACAGAACCCCCACAAAGAAGACAGAATGGGCTGTACGGGGCTCTCCTTTTAAAAGGGTCTATTTGCCCGAGGGTTGCGCGGTTGGTAGAGCAGTGATTGAGACTTGGGTTTGTTTGTGTTTCACCCAGAGGCACACACAAACTGAGTAATAGTGTGGGTCAGGACCCTTCTGTAATGAAGTCAAGTACCTGCCTTTTCCCACGCTTCCCGCAACACCGTAAATGACAAGATCCCAGTCCAGTCGTGCAGAAACTAGGGAACTGGTGCCGGCACTTCCTCAACGCGGGGGAGCGTGCGGGTCAGAGGCGGCGGCGGGGGGGGGGGCACGCAGGGTCAAGGCCGGCAGTGGCAGGGTGGGTGTCAGCAGGGGCGCCGCGCGTGCCGCCGCGCAGAGGCACCCCCGCCCCCTCCGTGCTCCGCGGGCACCAGAGCACACCAGGAAGTCTGCGGGCCGGGGCCGGGGCCGGGGCCCGCTACCCCCCGGCCCCCCGCCCCCCCCCAAGGGCCACAGCCACCTGTGGTCCCAGGGGAAGGGGCCGGCCCGGTGACACGGAAACGCTTCCAGGGGTGGACGCCCCGGGGGGGGCGCGGGGAGGGCAACGGGGACCCCGAGCTCCTGCAGAGGCGGGCGCCGCGCCAGGACGCGCGCGACCCCGGGCCGGCCGCCCCTCCCCAGCTCCCGCCCCGCGCGGCCCCGGCGGGACGGCTTACATAACCCCCCGGCGTCCCCGGGCGCCGGGCGAGCGGGGCAGGCGGCGCGGACGGCCCCCGCGGCCCCGCGGCCGCTCCTCCCCCACCCGGCCGCGGCCCCCGCCTCCGCCGCGCGCGCGGGGCCCCCGGGCTCCCGGTTTCCGGCCCCGGCGCTCACACCACCCCAGAAAGCGGCTCACACAGACACCATAACAAAGGCGGCGACGCGGCGGCAACCCCGGGGTGGGAGCGCCGGGGGAGCGCGGCGGCGCTGGCAGCCGGCCCGCCCGCCCGGCGGAGGGCACGGCCGCCCATCCCGGCCCGCGCGGCCCGGGGGCGGGCGGCCGGCGGGAGGCGAGGGGCGCTTTGGGGCGCTACTCACTCTCGTCAGGCAACTGGTCGAGCTCCGCCATCTTGAACGAGCCGCGCCGCTTTTTCAAAGGCTGCCCGCCGCGGTGCATTGTGGGGCGGAGACTGTCTTTGCGAGGGAGGTTCGAATGCGGAGCTCGCTGCCCGCGGCGCTCCCGCTCCCGCTCCCGCTCCCGCTCCCGCTCCCGCCGCGGCCCGCCCGGGCGGGTCGGCTCCGCCCGCGGCCGCCGGGGAGGGGTCCGGCCGAGCGGGCCCGGCGCCGCGCCCCCCCCCCCCCGCGGTCCCCGGGCCCGGCCCCCCGCCCCGGCCGGCCGCGGGCGGGAGCGGGAGGGGGAGGGGAGGGTGGCGGAGGAGGCCGCGCCGCCAGGCCGGGCGCGGGGCGCGGGGCGCGGGGCGCGGCCGCCGGAGGCCCGCTCGGAGCCCGCCCCGCGTCCGCCCCGCGGGGCTGCGGCTGCGGGCCGGGAGGCGCGGCGGGCGGGCGGGCGGGCGGCATCTGTGGGCCTGCGGGAGGGCCCCGGCCCGGTCACCGGCCCGGGCAGCTGCCCTGCTGGCGGCGGGACTCCGCGGCGGGCAGCTCCGGGAACCAAGGGGGTCTGCGGCAAGGCGGGGGGGCGGGGGGGGGCAGTGAGGCCACGCACGACGGTACAGCACAGGTGAGTGCCTGGAGCTGGGGTGCAGACGGGGCGGGCCGCTGAGGCCAGGTCAGCACCCAGACTTGCTGAGAGCGCCGGAGCAGGGGGAGCCGGGCCCTGGAGAGAGAGCATCGCTGCTGCAAAACAGAAACGCGGGCGGCGGGTTGCGGCGCGGTGAGAGCAGAGCAGAGGCCGCCCAGCCCCTGTCGGTGGTGGCGGGGAAGCTGCTGCGAGCCGGCAGGCAAGGGAGGACAGACCTGTCTGCACCTGGCGCTAGGGCCCGGGTGCGGCTCTGGCCACCAGTTGTATAATCTAGCAAGTTTGTTTCCTCCTCCTCTTCTTCTTTCTTCTTCTTCTAACATTTATTTAGGGAGAGAGCACTACCGCGAGGCTCTGGAGGGGCAGGCGGAGAGAATCTCAGACTCCTCGCTGAGCATGGGAGGCTGATTGCAGGGCTCCATCTCACCACCTGAGCTGAACCCAAGCGTTGGGCCTTAACCAACTGGGCCACGCCAGGCGCTCCGCAGGTTTGTTTCTTAAATCTCTGTGCCTCTTCTCCTGTGCAAAGTGCAGATGATCACAGAGCGTTTTAAGGATTCAGCGAGTTGGTCGAGGTACAGGCCTGATTATAGTTTCCCGCCCGATGTGGCTCAGTTGTTTGCTATTGCTAGCACCACTTTGCAGTCGGGAGCGTCACCGGTGCTGCCAGCTTCTGCCTTAGACTAACTGGGTGCTGGGGTGTGGTGAAGAAAATTCAGTTTTACAAAATAACGCTGACTTCGCTAATTGAACGCCTCCCTGCCTTCTAAGCACATTCTGATTTACATTCTAAGAAGCTGCAAACCAGGAGTCCCTGTTGTCAGCAGGTGAGAGTAAGTCCTACCCATTTGGGGATGAGTTCAAGAAAAGGTCAGCTCTGAGAATGGAAAAATAGAGGACTGGAGTAAGTCAACTTTGGCAGAGTAACCCATGGTCAATGTATCATTAGACTAAGGCGATAAAACTTAATGCAGATTTCACATGTAACAGCAGGCCAGCTGTTAAGTAATTTTAGGCCCTTCTTCTGATAATCTGCATTTTATTTTTTCTTGTTTTCTTAAACCTTTTTTTTAATTCCAGTATTGTTAGCATACAGTGTAATATTAATTCCAGTTGTATGATTCAGTGATTCAGCACTTCCGTACATCACCTGCTGCTCGTCTGGACAGGTGCACTCCTTAATCCCCATCACCTGTTTACTCCATACTCCCACCTACCTCCCTCAGTGATCATCTTCTGTATAAAGAGTCTGTTTCTTGGTTTGTCTTTTTTCTTTAAAGATTTATTTATTTATTCATGAGAGACAGACAAAGAGAGAGAGGCAGAGACATAGGCAGAAGGAGAAGCAGGCTCCTCACAGGGAGCCTGATGTGGGACTTGATCCCTGATCCCGGGATCACAGCCTGAGCCGAAGGCAGACACTCAACCGCTGACCACCCAGGCATCCTAATGTCTTTTTCTTTTTTTCCTTTGTTTCCTTGTTTCTTAAATTGCACATGTGTGTAAAATCATATGGCACTTGTCTTTCTCTGATCTATTTCACTTAGCATAATGCTCTCTAGGTCTATTCATGTTGTTGCAAACAACATGAAAATTTTCATTCTTTTTTATGGCTGAGTAATATTCCATTATGTATATATACCACATCTTTATCCATTTGTCCATCAGTGGGCACTTGGGTGACTTCCATATTGTAGATAATGCTGTTGTAAACACAGGGATGCTTGTGTCCGTTTGAATTAATGTTCTTATGCTCTTTGGGGTAAATATCCAGGAGTGTGATTACTGGATCATAAACTAGTTCTATTTTAACTTTTTTTTCTATTTTAACTTTTTGAGGAACCTCCATACTGCTTTCCACAATAACGACACCAGTTTGCATTCTCACCAACAGAGCAGGAGAGTTCCTTTCTCTCCACATCCTCACCAACACCTGTTGTGCTTGTGTTGTTGATTTTAGCCATTCTGACAGCTGTGAGGTGGTATCTCATTGCAGTTTTGTTTTTTAAAGATTTTATTTATTTTTTCATGAGAGGCATAGAGAGAGAAGCAGGCTCCATACAGGGAGCCTGATGTGGGATTTGATCCCGGGACCCCAGGATCACACTCTGGGCCGAAGGCAGACGCTAAACTGCTGAGTCACCAAGACATCCCTGTTTTTTTTTTGTTTTTTTAAGATTTATTTATTTATTTATCCATGAGAAACACACAGAGAGTCAGAGACATAGGCAGAGAGAGGAGTAGGCTCCATGCAGAGAGCCTGATGTGGGACTCGATCCCGGGTCCCCAGGATCATGCCCTGGGCCGAAGGCAGACACTAACCTGCTGAGCCACTCAGGCATCCCTCTCATTGTAGTTTTGATTTGTATTTCCCTAATGCCAAGTGATGTTGAGCATCTTTTTGTATGTCTGTTGGTCATCTGTACGTCTTCTTTTTTCTAACGTTTTATTTTTATTTATGTTTATATTTTAAAGATTTCATTTATTTATTCATGAGAGACACAGAGAGAGGCAGAGAGAGAAGCAGGCTCCATGCAGGGAGCCTGACATGGGACTCGATCCCAGCTCTCCAGAATCATGCCCTGGGCTGAAGGCGGCGCTAAACCGCTGAGCCAACCGGGCTGCCCCATCTGTATGTCTTCTTTGGAGAAATGTCTGTTCATGTCTTCTGCCCATTTTTAGTTGGATTATTTGTTTTTATGGTGTTGAATTGTATAGTTCTTTATATATTTTGCATACTAACCCTTTTTTTGGATATTTCATGTGCAAATATCTTCTCTCATTCTGTAGGTTGCCTTTTGTTTTTGTTGAGTGTTTCCTTTACAGAAGCTTTAAAAAAAAATTATTCATGAGAGACACAGAGAGGCAGAGACATAGGCAGAGGGAAAAGCAGGCCCCGTGCAGGGAGCCTGATGTGGGACTCGATCTCGGTACTTGATCCCAGAATTCCGGGATCACGCCCCGAGCCAAAGGCAAACACTCAACCTCTGAGCCACCCTAACTCCCTTACAGAAGCTTTTTATTTTAATGTCCCAATACTTTATTTTGCTTTTATTTCTCGTGCCTCAGGAGACGTATCTAGAAAAACATTGCTATGGCTGAGGTTGGAGAGATTATTCTCTGTGTTCTTATCTAGGAGTTTTATGGTTTCAGGTCTCACATTTAGGCCTTTGATCCATTTTGAGTAAATTTTTCTGTATGGTGTGAGAAAGTTGTCCAAATTCATTCTTTTGCACATGGCTGTCCAGTTTTCCCAGCATCATTTACCATAAAAAGACTGTCTTTTCCCCATTGGATATTCTTTCCTGCCTTGTCAAAGATTAGTTGATCATATAATTGTGGGTTTATTTCTGGGTTTTCTGTTCTGTTAATCTATGTGTCTATTTTTTGACCAGTACCATACTGTCTTGATCACTGCAGCTTTGTAATATAACTTGAAGTCTAAAATTGTGATGTCTCCACCTTGGCTTTTCCAAGATTGCTTTGGCTATTCGGTGTCTTTTGTGGTTCCATGTAAATTTTAGGATTGTTAGTTCTGTGAAGAGTGCCGTTAGTATTTTGATAGGGATTGCATTGAATGTATGAATTGCTTGAGGTAGTAGAGACATTTTAACAATATTTGTTCTTGGGATGCCTGGGTAACTCAGTGGTTGAGTGTCTGCCTTTGGATCAGGGTGTGATCCTGGGGTCTGGGATCGAGTCCCACATCGGGCTCCTTGCGGTACGCCTGCCTCTCCTTCTGCCTGTGTCTCTGTCTCTCTCTCTCTCATGAATAAATAAATAAAATCTTTAAAAATAAAAACAATATTTGTTCTTCCAATCCATGAGCATGGACTGTCTTTGCATTTTGCCTTCAGTTGCTTTCATCAGTGTTCTATACTTTTCAGAGGACAGGTCTTTCACCTCTTTGGTTAGGTTTTGGTGCATTTTTAAATGGGATTGTTTTCTTTTTCTTTGTGCTGCTTCTTCATGCACAGAAATGCAACAGATTTATGCACATTGATTTTATATCCTGTGATTCCACTGAATTCATTTATCAGTTGAAGCAGTTTTTTGGTGGAGTCTTTCAGGTTTTCTATAGATAGTTGATAATCTGCATGTTAAGCAAAAACCCTAAATGAGTCTTCTTATACTCTGAAGCCTGAAGCTGTGCCCCAGCCCCATATCTACCACGTGTTAACTGTGGGACTACAAGCAAGGCACTAAGCTACTATTTTCAGTGAGGTTCTTTGTTGGATATTTATGAGAAAGAGTTTAAGTCATTGGCTTACTCGATTCTCCCAATAGCTTGGAAGCTTGTTCAAGGACAACATCCAGCAGGTGAAAGAATCAGGAACCTGGCCCACTCTCCCTGCCTCAGCTCTCCCCCTGTGGTGTGACAATAACACATCCATTACA